ACGAATTTATGATGACAATATCTTTAAATCGGAATTTAGATCTTAAACATTTTCCTCAGCGCCAACTCTGGCCTCTCTTTAAATTATTTAATGTAACATGCCTTGAAGTCATTATTTTCAAATATTAACAATTCTCTCTGATGTTACAATGCCAATGGTTAAAAAAAAAAACATTAAATTCATGAGAATCGTATTGAGTTGAGTAACTCTATTGTTATTATTTCATATAGTTGTTATTTTTTAAAGACATTAATATTTAACGGCCCTGTCGCATATTGTTATTTGACAAATCCAAATACATTGATTGGATAATCGTGTTTATAAAGTATAATTTTGAAAATTTTGAAATACTAACGACCGACGCCACGGGCTATCGCAGTGCTCCATATCGAAGCATTGTAAAAGTTTTGAAAAAGCGGATAATCAATTCATGCGAATTGTTATTGTTTGTCGTATATGCGTACATACACACACAATAGCTGACTCGAATCGAAGCAACAAAATCCCATCAATATCCAAAATTACATTTATTTATCAATAAATGGATTTTATGTTCATCGAACATTGTCAACTCGTGTGGTCCGCTATAGTTTTGCCACATGCTTTCCGCTGGAAACAACTCAAACGTCAAGACAACACATTGAAGCCAGAAAGACCTCAGCCACTATTACCATTAATTTGGATTGCAACACAGCTGTGGGGCTCAACTTATCACAGAGCATCTACGCAACGTTGGCAATCTCCTCATCCAGACACCGAATATAAACCCAGATGGCCAGACAATGACACAGAGCTACGATTATTATTTCCACTGCTTATCTGATGGGCACTGACTGATTTCAATAAATGAATGTGTGTGTGTTTTGTTTCCTGATGTTGGTAAACAAGTCAACTCCTTGTAATGGTGTTCATTGAGCATGACCATGGGTGTCTCTGTGGCTGGGTGTGCAATTTGTAGCCCCAAGAAAACTTTGCAATTGTAGTTCATTCAAGAGACTGAACAACAATAACAAGCAATGTTCGTTTGTATACCGACAAAAGAAGAACTTTCAGTACACTTCATCATATCGATTATTATTGCATTCAACAATTCAATTTTGATTATAAAGAAATATTTTGGTGGGAACTTATGGACGTATACGTGCTAGCTAGTTTATGACAATAATGTTTATACGCCATGTATTCTCACTTACGATTGATCGCATTTTCTTTACGTGTTTGGGATATCCTTCACCAAAATACGAACGGTACGCGAAATATCATCAGATTACTACTGTCGACACTCATTCCATCCCACTGAGTGATTTAGATAACCAATCTGCATATAAGGATCCCATAGGATATAGTGTGAAGAATAAAGATGTAAAGCATTATTACAGTAAAATCGTAATAATTCGTAATGTCAAGGGACGGACCGTTTTACGAATTAGCGTGATTTTACTGTACATTCGTACAGCGTGATTTTACTATATAATATTCTATTCCCACAACAAAAGATTGTCTATAATAATTGCGGCGTCTACATAAATTTGAATCTTAAAAATATTCGAATTGTAAAGAGAAGTCACATATATATTTTAAAAAATTCTGAGGGTATCTGAATTTGATTACGTTACTATTAAGTTACTATTATAGCCTAAAAAATTATATGCAAATATTTCATCACACAACGAAACTTCATTTTAAGCAAAATAATTTAACAGGTGTCTAGTTAGGTGTGTAGTTATTTAGTCAACTAAAAAATCGAACTGTATCTTTTAATTGTACATCACATAAGTAATTGCAAAAAATTCAATCCTTCAGAAACATCCATGTATGCCAGTAGAATAGTAAAAAATTTCCATTGAACATAAAAAATTATTTAAAAAAAATGTAATTTCTGCTAGAATTTTAATCGTTTCACATTCATAAGCATTTTGTTGTTGGTGCGTAATAAGGCACGCTTTCGAACCAGAAACTCATCAGCACCTTCACACACATATCCTTCACTCGAACCACTTGCCCCCTCACCCCACTACCCTAGCAAATAGGACGAACTCAGTGTTACTTTCTTTTATACCATCGCCTTTTTTGTGTATGTGTGCGTGTAATTTCTGTTTAGTTCGTAGGACGGAAAGTGTGGTACGTTGTACCGCTGTCCTTTCGTTTCATCTTCCGTTTGATTTGTGTTTGTCTTTTTCGGTTCTTTGTTGTTCCTGTTTCTTTTTCTTGTTGTCTTTATGTATTCTATCCGCAGGATGTTCCGGTGCTAAGCGATGGCATTTATCATATTGACTCGTTTGTCTTGGATGCTCCGAAATCCGCCATATTTGTGGGTTTGCAGGATGATTACAATCTCAGATACAGCCCTGACCGTCACAGCGGTCTTGAAAATATAATGGCCATTGATATGATGAATGATGACCTCAGTTCCATCTCGAGCGCCTTAGAAGGTCATTCATATTCCGAGACATCGCAAGTGGATGCAAATTCAATTAATTGCTGTACTGCTTATCCGGGTGACGACACCTTAACTGGCCCCCATACCGGTAGTCATGACGGCGTTATCCACTTCGACAACGACGAATTTATCATTGTGCCCCAAGTGCCACAGAAACTAATTACGTCGCATTGCAACCTACATTCTGGCCACACGATAATATCTTCGCCTTCGCCTGGGGGCAGCACCAACAACAGTTCGCCGTCACCGCAGGACCATACATCGGATGAAATGAACTATCGGCCAACTGCTACAGCCTTGTCTCTGGCCATCTACCCTGACTCAGTTCGCTCGTGTATCTAATCAAAGTTTTACACAGAAATGTGCCCGATGATGGCGGTGGTGTCCTCATTGTTCCGCAGAATGCAAAAAAAAAAACTAAATTCATATTATCATCATATTGTCCTTTCGTACAAGCAACAACAAACAACTGTATCATTTAAGTTGGGCACAGCGAAGCGAAGGCATAGCTCAGAGAGATGATAATGCAATTCGCAAGAAGAACAAGAAAATACAAATGAATAAAAAACAAATACTAAATAACCCATAACGCAGACATAAGGTCGTACCGAAATAAGCAAGAAAGTCAAGCCAAAAATAGTATTCTATGTTAAGGTTTCATATTTACAATAACAAGAAGACATATCATAAAAAATGTTATATTTTTAATATATTAGTAGGAGAGCCATATAATAATTAAAGAACAGAGTAAAAATTATCAGACGTTCGGAAGTTGAGACTCCCCGTGGGTGTTCTGTATACAAAATGATCACCTTGAAATATCACATATATTCTGGAGGTAATGAATATTCCTTCTAAAAAATATAAGTAAATCCAGTAAATTGGAAAAAATGAGTGTTACGATTTAGGGTCTTCCACAAAAAATCTGAAATCATGCATTCATTCGGATTACTATAATATTTGAAAAGTTTGTACAAAGAATTTCATGCTGTTGATTAAAAATCATTTTTTGTCTTTTAATAAAAATATTGAAGAATATTGAACATTTTCAACAACCAATCATAACTTACACTGACTTCAGTTGTAAAACACGATTACGTCCTTCAAATTATCTATAATGGGGTTTGTATTGTAAAAAGTGTGAGAAACTTCAAAATTCTTCAAATAGTCTTAGGTTCCTTTGGTTGGCCCTATATCGAAAGCATTCAGCGAGAAGGCCTATTATCTTCTGAGAAACCCGAAATGCAAACTTGATTTTGCTTCGTTGCAATAGTGAGGCTTGAGTGTCCAAACATGACCATTTTATATTAATTAATTTATTCGTGGACGTATCTTATGACAGAGGCCATTGTGCGACTAAAGTCGCAAAAACACTATAAAAGAGCTACATTTTTTTTTTTTTTTTTTTTTTTTTTTGTTTTTTGTGGTAGGAAACATGTTTATTTCGGTACAATCTATTGTTTGTCGTTCGCACACGATGCTTAGCATCGAACAAATCGATCACTGTGATTGTTGTTATATTTTAAACAAATGCTGCATTTATTAACGACAAGGAACTACGGATGCCGATGATCCACCCGAGATGCTGTACCAGACGCCGGCGGCTTTAAGGTTCAATCTCAATGGACGGAGACAGATGCACAAAACCGAACAATCACAGTCTCATTTCTGCTCATCCAGCTACACAGAATTATGTTTACATTTGCAGAGGCATCTTTTTTGTTGTCTTTTATGTTATCCTTGGTTATGCGGCATCGGTTTTTAGTTATTGGCATCATCATTTCCGGTTTCCGTTCGTTTGAAAATTTGCCTTTGTTCTTCATTTTTTCGATTTATTTGCGTTGTGAGTGTAAATACTTGTAATCGAAGTGAGTCTCATTTTATGTAGATTCCTTTGAACGTTGATTTGCTGGCAAATTGGTTTCGTTCGGCTTCTTTGGTTTCCTCGATTTGTTTAAATTGCCAACCCCCCTAGTTTCGATTGGCATCCTTTGCTCATTACATAGTGGATCTTTCTTTTTTGTTTGACCACACACACGTAGCCCTGTTGCTAGATATTCGCTTTTCCACTTTTGTTACAAGTCAGTGTCATGGGTTTGGTGCGTACAGAGAGAGAAAGTGAAAAACGGAAATAAAAGAAAAGAAAAAAAAACAAAATAAAATTTAATTATCTCTTTTAATGGCGTTCTGCTTCCTTTTGACATCGGCTTTACCACCATCCGCAGACACCATTCATGTCATTTTAATCGGATGTTTAATCGGATTTAACACTCATCTTTTGGCGAAAAACAATCAAATCAAGAACATTTTTGAGTACAAAATTGTCATGCCTACCGAGAAGGACAGATATCCACTTGACTTTTCTCAGATATGTTGTCATCTTGAATGATGTGAAATGTAATGCCGTGGCATACACACAAACAAGTATGTAGGGAATGGAACAATCAGACGATCAGGCAATACATTTCAAAATTCCAAGAATTCAATATTTCCTACATATTTGTTGGACCCACAAACCATATCGGATGATTCATTACGAAATGTATTCGTTATTTTCCAGGAACACATACGGCAATCAAAGGAAAGCAAGCTCGATGAAATGGGACGCAATTCAAAGGCCCGGTCTCGTGACAACATATCCATTGTATCGCCCAGGTAAGAAGTTGTGCCAACCACTTGGCCCCCTTTTCATTTTTATCTTCATTCCATTGTAATGGTTAATGTTGATGATGCATTCAATGTTGTTCTGTTTTTCTCTTCTTTTTAGACAAAAACATTCGCAAACTTCGCTACAGATACTTGATGATGTTTCCAATCGCTATTATCGGGAAATTGAACTGCAGACCAAGGGCAATTTCAAAGAGAAGGAGCCCCCCAACCTAATACGACGCCACGATATGATTGTTCAAACGAGTCTATGCAGCACCGATGATTCCTCCACAACGACGGCGACAGAACAGCAACCAGGACCAGCAGCAGGCCAGCAACCCAATGCATGTGACATGGGTTGTCAAACGAGGTAAGTACCCTGTGCACTGCCAAGATCAAATTTTACGGCCAGCCGAAAAAGAGTTTTGCCATGTTTCAATGAATAAATTGGCATCGATGTATTCATTTTACAATTGCATCATTGTGCGTACAGTAGGCCATCATAATAAAGGACATATTTAGATGATGTAAGGAAATTTAAATAATATTACGAATATAGGTACAAGTCCCTTCGAATGCCCAACCAGGTGGGTTACCCCAACTAGTAGTAATAATGTTATGCCATCGTATGTACCATTTACGTGATTTATAGAGTCCCCGACTTACATTTCGAAGTGATATCCACATAGTGATATCCAATGTAGAGCAATTCAGACCAATAACCAAACCACTAAGGCTGCCTTGCTGTGGAATGTGACTTATGTAAGTGCACAGCTGTAATGTTTCACCCAAGCAACGTTTTTTTGGATTTTGCAGAGTTTCATGTCCCTATCGATATTTGATTGTTCCCATAAAATAAAAAAATTCGGTATATCGACAACCTACTGATCCATAGCACAATGTCATTGTCATTACTTTTAGTATGTTTTGGTGTAAAATAGCACCTCCATTAACTGTTCAAATAAATCTTAAACTAAATGATGTGTTTTAACGTTTCCTTTTTTGCAGAGAGTCATTATTTGGTACCGCCTCATTGCTGCGTTCAAAATCAAAGACACCCTCCCTTGTCGGTGGTCATCGAAGCGTAGAAGGTGTACCACCACCACCTCGATTCTCAACGTTTGGCTATGATGCCGCCCAAATAACCACCCAGCAGCCGGCGCTTGGTACTACTTCCACCCTATCCAGACGCAATATTCACCTGCCACAGGGATCCATGGAAGCGGACCATCCACCAAATCAGGAGCATATGACTATGATGCAGCCACAAATGCAACAGCAACCGCAGCAACATCGTCACTTACATCATCGGCCATCGCAAGAAATTTGTCACCATCATCATCAACATCAGCAGCAACAACAGCAACATCAACAACAACTACAGAAGCAAACATTGCCACGTCATCAGCATCAACATTTACAGGACCAACACCAGCATCACCATCCCCCTTCATCAACGGGACCGCACATAACCAATGTGCCAGCATCTGGCACAACGATTGTAACAGCCATATCAACAGGATCCAGTGCTGCCCGAGGCCGAGACCCATCCGCCGCTGTCGGCCCAGCTGCCAGTGCCAAGAACAAACAGACCAAACTCGATGAATCAAAGCTCTTCATCGACATTAGAAACTCAGCACCGGACGTCATAATTATGACATCCCATTGACAATTAAGGAAATTCCAGCCCAACAACCCCCGCTATACCCAGCAACTTTGTACAGAATATTGCATTATACCTCCGACCAGTCTCATTCATTCTTTAACGACTCTTCTGCATCGAACGATAAATGAGTTGGCACAGTCTAGACTTGTCAGTCATAGAACGGATCTGTTGCGTGCGTTTATCGCCCTTTTGACGTGCAACTTTATTTAGTAAATCGTAGTCGTCGATTTATTTGTTAATACAATTTCGAAAATATCATTGACAGAATTGGGAAGTGTTCCAAAGGAGTTAGAAGAGTGACGCAACGACACTGACTAACGAATATCCACACCAAACTCATTTGGAGTAGATTTTAGGCTATCGTTAACCCATTTCGTCATGCCTCCCGCCAGCCTGGTCTACATTTACACAGCAATTATACGTAACATGACCTGTGAACAGCATCCATGTTGTGTACACCGTCCGTTCGACTGTAACATGTTTGTTTGGTCATGTTACTCTTCCGGTCCCTTGTTTAGTGTCCGCCCCTTGTGCGTGGTTCGATTTTTTGTGTTATTCCAAACCCAAAGCGAAACATGCAACAAACACAATATGCCTCACCGTATGATATATAGCCGGACAACGACGGCACGGTGATGGCAGTGGTGCTGATTTACAACATCAACAGCAAAACCGCCTCGATCGTCATCATATGTCATATTTGGATGCCACTATAGGACACAGATACATACGCTACTTTCTCTTTCACCCGACAACATATCCTTGACGACCATGCCAATGTGCATTCATATATTTGTCCATGTGGCTACGAAAGCATGTCCTTGTTTTAGAAGAAATGTTTGTATGGAAGCCTACGATGTGTGAATGTCGATGTGTGCGTGTGTGTTTGCCAAGTGACGAGAGCATTCATCAATTTCCACCATTGGTGCATGTTGATGAAAACAGTGTCATTCATTATAAATGTGCCAGTAGGGAGACAATCTTGTCATACAGTCTTGTTGGCCACATATTATGGAAGGGAATATTAAAGAGCCAATGTGAACTTGAGAGAAAATCAAAATGACTTCCAATTCTATTTTGAAGTGCTACCGAGATATGGTGCAATAATTCCACTTGTATGTGAAACTTGTTAAATTGTATTCCAATCTAGACAACAACAGCCACAACATTTCGAACGGACACTGTCGGAATGCGTTTGGGTGTGTTTACATTATAAATGACCCGCTAAACTAATGGTCCGGACAAGGAATCATTGATTGTTACTACAACATCATGTTTGGCCGTTTGTGCGTGTTCCATCATTTGCTCGAAAAAACAAAAGCAAATAAACACAACTACAATGACAAAAACGACAACGTGGCCAACAGTATTCCTTTGTAGTCAAATGCCCAGCGCAGTTAGTCTGAACACATTGACGCAACACAACCGGAGAGGAAACGATGGCGACAATGTCATTGTCGTTTCTGACATCCTTGTACGTTCAGCCATGTTTTATATGTATGTGTTTATTTACGTATGCGTGTGTGTATTTATATGAAAATGATGTGCAATAACAGACACAGCAGCAGATGTTTCCTTTTGTAGCATGTACAGACGCACGCAGGAATACACACATACACACTCACCATCAATCCAGTTAAAAATGGACAAATAAGCGCAAAAAAATTCATTTCCATATCTCGCCAAAGTAAAGCCAAACATTGTCATTCTTTAACGTGAACAAATATGCAAGTTTACTGAACAGATTGAAGATTTTTGATCGCTGGAAAATTCTTTTGAGTACTTTACATAAAAGGATTAAAATGAACGGAATTTCTTTAAAGCCAAATAAAGGATACGATATACAAAAAGTGGAATCGATTGCAGCGTGAATTACACAGTACTGCAGAAAATGGAAGAAGCTAGGGAACAATGTTTTTCTGACCAAAGATGAACACAATTATCCATTAACGAAATAACGTCAGCATGTCTGATAGATTGAAGCTCACAATAGCTATCTATTCCAATAAGATTGCAATATACTTTATTTCTCTAAATAATACATAGACTACGAAATGCTCTGGGTGATTAATCTTGTTCAAAATACCGAATTATATATAAATCTCTTATATATATAAAAATGAAATGATGTGCGTTGTCTGCTAAAAACTAGAGAACGGTTCATCGGATTTTAATAATTCCTTTTGTGTTGTATTCGCATTGTCAACCGAAAGGTTTAGCAGTAAAATAATTTGCAAAATATTGGTTTTGAAAAATACCTTTTTTTGATAAAACAAACATGCAAGAAACGAAAATATTGAATTAAAATTAAATTTTTTTTGTAATCAAATTAATTGCTGTTCGTTAATCTCACTAAATCTCGAGACCGGCTTCTTGGGACAATACAAACAATAATTGAATGTAGACACGATCATGGTATGTGCACGTTTTCCATAGAATCCATGTACATTTGGGAGTAATGCAAGGATGGAAAATCAGAAGACATTATGTGCCAATTTCAGAACACTATCTCAAATCGTGGAGGGAAAAAGGTAACTTTATATTGGGCTATCGTAATGTGAATTATACATCAACAATATTGCTATGCAAGACAACGTTTGCCGGGCCCGCTAGCAATTAATATTTTTAAACTAACAACCTCAACGTTCCGGTAATTCTATATTTGTCGTCTATATACGACGATGTAAACTCGTGTCATATTTTTGTGATCACCTTTTGTAGAACAGTGTTATTAAGAGAAAACGTTACACCGAATCAAATGTAGTTCATATGGACTCTGATATGGTCTCTGAAATCCACTTAACTTCAACAATTACAAATAAGAAGACATCATTTCCACAATAATTATATATTGACATTAAAATGAAATACAATACACATGTTGGTGTGTGTGTAATATATACAGTCATTCCTTCTGCGAGAGAATTAAAAGAAAATGAAACATATACATGCATATTTACTCAAATAATGTACTTGAAGGCATATTTGGTGTTAATTAAATATATTCTGCTGTGACATACATGCACGAGATGCAGCAGCACGAGCATTTAATTATAACAATGATATTATCACATATAGGTTAATGAAATTCGCCCTGCCGTTTCAAAGGTAAAATAACCAAGTGAAATTCCCAAATAGTTTCATGCAAATCGTTGTTCACTTCGAACAAATACTTTTGTCAGCCTAAAAGTATGCAAAGATAGAAGTAATTTTGTCGCTACGTGGTAAATAAACAATTTATTATATTTATTTAATAATATGCATTCTTATGTATATATAATATGAATTAATGAATTCCGAACAGGTTTGTGATTCCAAACAACATTATTCACAAATGAATAAATTTCATTTCATAAAACTAAACTAAAACTTATACGAAAAAAACCAGTCCCTTCAACAAATCATAGACTATTGGTAATAACAGACACACACACGCACTCGCATACATACCTACAAACACTGCGAATGCGAAATATGACATAGGGCGTCATTTAAATCAAATATTTGCCCCATTGCCTGTCATCGCCATATAAAAATCAACAACAATTGACAAATGACACGCCATTCGACAGCAATTTATACACGAACGAACCTTTGAACTGACTGGGCTGGTCATTTAGGTCATGTAAATTGCAAATCAACTGGAACTTTCTACTGTACGTAAAATTGCAAGTGACAACCCGCTTACTTACCAATCAGTGAATTCTGGCGTTGCCTTGTTAACAATTAGTTTGTTTTTCGGCAAAGAACTCGATTTATTTGTCTTTTCAAATGACAAAATGAAATGTTTTTACAAGATATACATGCGTTGCACGTTACACTGGTCATCCAACATGTATGTATGTTGTCAATAAAAGAAAGATTATTTTTCCGAATCGATGAGCAAATTGTAATCGGTTTATGTAAATAACTTGTAATCACAGCATATTGCTAATCGCCCCCTCAATTAGATCAATATTTACCTTAAAACAAAAAAAAAAACAAAATATTTGTACAGCACACATATTGTTAACAAATATAACAATTCTGAGAGCGGTAAGGGAAACTTACTGTAATGGTATGTATGAACCAAATGTGAGTTCATTGAAAATGTGATTTGCTTTAAAGAAAAAAATTAAAGAATTTAAGCCATTCTGGTACACTTTTTCCACAATTACATGAAGGAAATTATTTCAGAATGAGCTTGGAAATGTGGCTAAGGGTTAATATCTCCGAGTATATTGAACTGGGAGTATATTTCTTTGAGATCTATGCCAACCTTACGGATGAGAGGTATATGCATGTAAAGTATACGGCTGTACCGATTCATATGTGTATATATTGACGAAATCTTATCACAATAGATGTTTCCACGCAGACATTAAAAAATGTGTTTCTGTTTTATTAGGAGAACAAGTTTGCCAATAACAAAAAATACATTTTGTTGAAAATTTGGCATGATTGGTTTCCACCTTATCATTTAACTGTTTGAATTCAAACGGCATTACATAATTTTTAAAAATTTTAAAAATATACAAAACATTCAAATATTGTTGAAACGTCTATGAGTTAGTGTGGGTGTTCATTTTAAGGGAAAATCAGTGTCTACAGTTCTCACTCAGTGTCACGTCCCCTAAACTTCAATAAGTTTTCTGCGAAACTAAAATCGACAAACAAGTTAAGTTATTTAGGACACCTTCGACACAAAATATCAATTCAATGATCATTACATTGAAGGTGAATTTTACGAATTGCAATTATCGACAGTCGACTGTACAAGTAAATATTGCATTGTAAATGTATTGTATCGAATAAGATTGTAAAAAGTAAATTCTAGTAATGTAGTTAATTGAGGCCAACAAACCAATCAAATATTTAATAAAATTTTTAGTATAAAATGCAAATCATGAAACTAAAATAAATTTAATTATATAAAACTTGTTATAAGTAAACGTTTTAGTAAAAACCATCTATATACATATATGTATCTGTAATTTTTTGTTTCTTATGTAAGAAATGATAATCACGTTTTTCAGAAAAAAAGTATTGTTTGCCTTTAAATAAAACAAAAATGAAAACTGTTATGTTAAATTGTTTATAGATTG